CATCACATGGGGGAGCAACTTTCTCGGACTCCATCTCTGCCCAATCCGCGGTAGTAGTTTGTAGTTGGTTTGAGCGGTTGTGATTTAGTGAGCTGGTATTTTTCTGTCATTTTACATTGCATTTCATCATTTTTAATCATGGTGTGCTGGAGTTTGTGCAGGTTGCACAAACTCCAGCCTGTCAGGACATCGAGTCCACAGTTTCCCTAACAGGAAAAGGACCGGAGCTAGCTTTCGTTCCTGGGTGCGTTGTGCATCCACCTCCCTTCAGCACATACTCTCCACAGGAAAAGCCTATCAAACAAAACGTTTATCAGGAAACCGTATTACATCTCTCTCCCCCCCTTCGTTCCTCTCTCTCTCCCCTCCGGTACACAGCACCGTAAGACGTAGTGTGGAGTTGCATTAGGTAACGCTGTGGTGGCTGTACTGCTCCAGCCGTCCATATCGTAGAAAATTAAACCCGTTGGAAATAAAAGGCATGGTAACGCGCACAGGGCTACAGCGATGCCTGCGACACAACCCAATAAATTTACTGACCCCACTGTGTGACCAAGGTATTCTCGTCTTCATGTATTTTTTGCAAGAACCTGTCGGGACGAAGAACAATAAGTGAGCGCTTGACTGAAGGAACGTTACAGAGTAAGGGTTTTCAATTGACCCGCTTGCCGAATCCGCTTGTGAAGGCGATGTTTCTTTATTACGGGATGTTCTTCGTAGGATCGACTCGGTTCTCTCCGTAAGACGACGCTGAATCTGTCGAAAAGACGGACGGCGGCTAGGGCTCGGGACTGTGGATGTAGAAACTGTACCTTATAATTCGCTGAAGATACGATAGTTTAGGCTTCTCGAAACTATCAATCGGTAACCCATACTGATCGTTGAGGGTAATTGTCATTTTTCCGTCGGAAACTAAACAGATAATATGTCCAAAGATCATTCATCAAATGTGAAGTATATCTTACGAAAAATCACGTGAATAAATTCAATTTTATCTGTGAAGGGTCGTCTAATAGGTTACTATTGGCTACAAATAAAAATTCAGTTAGATGACAATTTGAATTGAGAACAGAAATATGTGAATCAGATCGTAACAAAAATCTCAGTATTATCATAGAAACCACGTAAATTTCGTATATTTGTGGATATAAACCCCATCAATTTCACTTACACCACTAACAGAGACACACCGGTCCGAGGCTAGGGACACGTTTAGAATAGGGTGTGTATCTACAGACGAAGAGACGGAAATTCTCAAATTCTTCACATATAGAAAATCCGAGAAATTTATGGTAGGCGACCCTGCTCTGGTAGTAGATTTCTGTATTTATGGGACCTCCAGAGGCCTTTTCAACTGGCCGTCCTAATGCCGGTTCTGTCGTCCGTTTGGTGGCAGTACTCGTCAATACTACACGCCGACCTTCCTGTCCATACACTGGCGTAGCTACGGCGTGAACGATGCCTAGAGGAGTAGGAGACGCCTTGTCTATCTCACCCTTTGAGTCTTAGCGTTTTTATTTTCTCAAGGATTTGTGACATACCGAGTGTAACCTAAACTTCTCTCTTAAATTTTTTACTCAGAAGTAGTCCAATTCTTTGATCACAACGAAACGTAGGATAAAAAATGAAAAAAAATATCGGCGTTTTTGTCAAACTAAATAAATACCGAAGAAAAATAAGACTGAAACCGTGCCTAAGGGGCCACATTCGAAAGTCTAGACTAACCAGAATAATCATTCGATTAAATATGAAAACATCGTTGTAAAAATATATTACCTTTCTTCCCAAGGTTTCAAAAGAAAAAAGCACAGTCGTGACGTGTTCAAAGAAGTCTCTCGCCAGAATCATGGCCACCTTATAACAGTGACCCGACACAGTAAGACTTCTGGTCTGTACATTTGTCCGACCACAAAGACGTTGTGTTAGAAATTCTTGTCTGTACTGTCGGATGGTCGTAAACGTACCACGTTTGTAAAAATAAACCAAGAATTTAAACAAACTAATTGTAAATAAAGGACAATTAGACCTGTACTCAAACCGTCGAAGTGTCACATTGACTCACTTATACAACTATACAAAGTGTTTTACGANAAAGAGGTTAAAAGACGGAGTGCTGGACGTCAGATAAATCACCAGAAGAAGGCAGAGAGGAAGTAAACAATAACAGGAATGGGCTCTGTAGTTTGTTTAGTATACTAAACAAACTACAGAGCCCATTCCTGTTATTGTTTACTTCCTCTCTGCCTTCTTCTGGTGATTTATCTGACGTCCAGCACTCCGTCTTTTAACCTCTTTTCCTTTCTCTTTCTTGATCCTCCTTAGCAACCTTCATTATAGTCCCTGACAGTGGTCTGTACTACTGTATTAACAATGTGTCACATGTTAAGAATTTACAATCAGAATCGAGTATTCAACTAAGCTGCGTAATAAAAGTTGTTAGTAGCCTTAATGGCATGCAGTTGTTACGCTATACCACATTGCCCTTCACTGGATGTATAATGAGCTGCACTAAACTACATTTTAGCATTTAAAATACCTAGCCATTCTTTTGCGGTTATTTTGGTTAAGTAACTCAAAAGCAATAAAAAAGTAGTGTAACTCATTACATTTCCGAGACAGTAATATTGTAATGTAACTTATTACTTGAAAAATGAGTAATATGTTGTATTACATTTTGGAAGTAATTTGCCCAACACTGGATTACATGTATAGTCAGGGCCGTAGGAAGTAGGGGTGCTGAGGGTGCTGCAGCACCCCCTGGTGGAGGACAGGGGATCTGCACTTCCA